CTCCTGCCCTGCTCACACAAACACACACACACGCGTGCGTGCGCGCGCGCGCGCACACACACACACACACACACACACACACGCACAGGCGCGTGCGCGCACCTGCGGGCTGGGCATCGCGGCCAGCTTCTCAAACTTCTCCAGGTCCCGCTGCTTTGCCGCCAGCGCATTCGACACCTTCTTGCGCGCTGCCTCCGCCGCCGCCGCCGCGCGCTCGTCGCGCTCCGCCCGCAGCGCCGCGGGGTCGTCCAGCTTCCACAAGGCCTTGCCTGGGGGTGGGGTGGGGTGGGGAGGTGATTGGGTGGTTGTGTGTATGTGTACGTGGAGGTCAAACGGTACACGTAGGTTTGTGTGTGGGTGCACGTGCGTTTGTTCTGTGTGTGTGTGTGTGTGTGTGGGGGGGGGTGTATGCGGGTGAAAGGACGGCTGTTTTTGGGTACAACGTGCATGTGCGCGCGCATGGGTGTGTGCCGGGTGATGACGAGCCGTGCACCACACCTCTGCGGGCGCAAAGGTAATTGACAGGGCCTGGCCCTGCATGGGTGTCACCCCAAGCAAAATCACGTCAAACCCGACACCCCCATTGGCCGAACCCCCACAAACTGCCCATCTCATGGTTGAAACAGGCCTATGCCACATGCACCCTCCCAAATGCACCATGCGCACCTTTCTGAATCCGCATGAGGGGACACCACCCCCTAACCCCTAAACCACAGCCCATCAGCTTCCATGCGTGAGGCATCAAAACCCCCAAAAAGCCCAGCCCCAGGACTTGCCGCTGGGGCCGCCACACCCCGCTTTCCGACTTCTCCAACCCCCTCGCGCTCCTGACAATCGACACTGCGACAGCGGCAGTGCCTCCCGCTTGGTCCCTGCCCCCAGCGGCCCCTGCCAGAAATAAAAAACGCGCGCCATCCATCCGCCCACCATCGGGCCGGTCCTCCAGCCGCACACCCAGGTCCACGCACGCGCCGTCCCGCACGGCGTCGCAGGCCGCCAGCACGTCCGAGTGGGGCGCCTTGGCCTTGGCCAGGCCGCGCACCTGGCCATTTCAGATGTATAGCGCAGCAGGGGCGCAGTGGTGGGTGACGTGGGAGGCGGCGAGCCGGGCGCCGCCCCGATTTTGGACCCCGTGTGGGATTAGGAGCACGGTGCAGATCGCCGTCGGCGGATGAGGTGAGGCGACGCGCCGGCCTGCGTTCCTGAGCCGAGCGCCGCCCACCGGGCAGGCCGGGAGGGGCAGGGCGCCGCACGCCGCAGCGCAGGCGAAAGACGGCGACGGGCAGAATCACACAAACACACACAACATAACACGCACACACACACGCACACGCACACATACACAATGATGCACATATGCACATGCCCATGCACTGTCACAACCCCGACCACAACCACACAGCTCGCCGCACCTCATCCCGGAAGGCGCTGAAAGCGTCGAGGTACGCCGCCCCCTTGTCCCCCTCCCCGCTGCCGCCCGCCGCTGCGCCAGCGCCGCCGCCGCCAAACCCGACGCCGTCCGCCGCCACCGGCACGACGCCAAACACGCTGAGGATCCGCGTCACGTACGCCGCCCCTTTCCGCAGCAGCAGCGGCTGCGGGGCTGCGACCGCCGACGCCGCTCCCTCCCCCTGCCGCGCGCCGCCGTTTGCCTGCGGCTGCTGCTGCTGCTGTTGTTGCCGCTGCTGCTGCTGCTCCTGCTTTTTCAAGAGGTACAGGTTTGTGGCCTTGATGATTGATCCGAGGGCGTCCATGGCGGCGGCGGTGTTGATGTTGTCGAGGAGAGACGTGTGCACGCGCGACTGGGCGTCCGTTATCGCCGACAGCAGGGCAGTCTCGTCCTCCTGTGTGTGTGCGCACGCGCGCGCGCGCGTGTGTGTGTGTGTGTGTTTACAAGTGTTGTACGTGACGTGTGTGTATTTTGCATGTGGGCAAGTAGTGAACGGGCCCTGTCGGGAGCGCCTGCGCGCCGCGCGTGCGTCTGCCTTTCACAGGCGGTAAGGCCTTGCCCAGCAATCACCCGCACCG